GGACGAGGCTGTTAATGAAATTGGAACCTAAACGATAAAAAAATAATTCAATGCGATAATTATTCTTTGTCAATCTGACTTCATATCGTGGATTATCAGCATCATACAATTTGAATCTGATTATATCGTTAGTATAATATTGAACATCGAGTACAACATTTTCAATCGGTTCTAGAAACGGACTTGCTATGGCTTGATTTCGTTGTAAACGTAACCGTATTCCTGTAGCTGTTTGTTGTACATCTTGTTGTAATAGATAACCATAAGTAGGTCGTAGATAACATTGAATAACACTTGGATCTGTTATATCGTCGAAGAGACAATTACGAGCAAGACAGGCATCTTTTGAAAAATTCGAATATTTTGCTTCAGCTTCTGGATAACAATCGATTCGATCAGTGACTGCTACTTCTTGACGTTGGTCACGACTAGGATTACCAACAACGGACATGATTATAATGATAAATGCGAAAAGAATTAAAGAATAGCGTGGAATTCTCATTGCTTGGCATTGATGCAGGATCTACAGAAAAATAACTTCATTCCCTAGAGAATATACTGAGTTAAGGATACCCGAAAAAGATTTAACAAGTACCCTGCTACAAAATGTATAGTAACTGGGTACTTGAAGATACTGATCAGATACTCAATTGGATACTATTGTACAGTATTTCTAGGTACCCTGCTACCAAAATTTCAGTATGTTCAGGATCGAACCTGACCTTTCACCTTTTGCATTTTTTTTCTCAAAGAGATTCATTACATTTTTTTTGATTTTATTATATTTAATTTTTTCAATCCGGAACTCTACAGGTCAAATCCCGAGATCTGACCAAACTTGAGTTGGTCGAGTATCCATGAGACCACCTCAGGATAGTCCGCTCTTAATCTACGATCAAGATCGGCAAGTTCTCGACTAAGGAATAGTCAAGAAAGAGTGAAGAAATAATCTAGAAAAAATTAGTATGAAAACAGATTAATTTCTTCTATTTTGCTCTATTTTTTATACGGAGCTGTGCGCGAAAAAGAAAACGGTGAATGAACAGTCGCTACGCAGAATGCGACAAATGTAGGGTACCCTGTAGAGTTTTCCTCAGTAAAATTACAGATGCGGGTATTCATACCAGTACTTGCTCAGTGAGCGTACTTTTATAGGTGCCTCTTGCAGTACCTACATTAGTATAATTACTGAGAATTTTCGAAATATTCATATTAGGTACTCTGCTAAGGCTTTCTCAGTACATGGGTACCCTGGAGTCAGTACTTTCTCTAGGATTAGAAGCGGAATGACTGGCTTTGTCTGCTGTTTTGTAGACGCAAAACGATGATTCAAAAGACTTCAATATCTTATATTCACTCACACTGCATCTTTTACACACAGCTTAGATTTTAGATTATGGCTTGCCTTTTTTACATAATTGACTAATCTTTTATGTTATTTTCAATTTTAAACAAAGAAATCTAAGATATGTTATCATTCAATTGAAAAAAAATAAAAACAAAAATTTTTCTTTAAATTGAAAACTGTTTTTCGTTTCGATGGAATTTGTGCCAAAAAATGCTTACCCTACTGAAGATTGTGTCTCTCTGTTTCTTTCCATATTCTTCGATTGGAACCATCTGCATTATGTTTTCTTAAATTATGTCTCATTAATGATCACGTTTAAATAGTCGAGAAATATTTCTAAAACACATTTGATCAATTATATATAGTCTCGAAGTAAAAACAGCAAAAAAAAAGATGGATTTATTTTTATCCACTTACTTTGTTATCTGAAACATTTATTACCTGTAAATGTTAAGATACAGTGTTGATATCTGACTAGAGCATAATTATTGTCTATTTTTGGAGAGACTCTTGATTGAAACGAAAGGTACGTGAATAAAAATATCTATCAACATCATTACACACCTTTATTTGATGAAAAAAATACGCTTGTATGATGTTTACCTTTCAAGAGATGAACTATTGATGGTGACGAAGAAGTAAATAATTAGCAATTGAGTAAAATGATCACAAAAAAACTTTAATATGGTCGACTATGAAAGACATTCTTATCTTTATTGGTTGCTTCGTTAATTGAAAAGATCAATCCTCCGTGTTTCGATGAAAAGACAAGTCGCAAAATGTGTTTTCATAGGTTTCATGAAAAACTTGGCGTTTATATTTTCTTGTACACATCTTGGTGTAACATCCGTGAATTCGAATAATATCGAGCTTTTCTTTCCAGCTATTGCAAAGATGTTAAGCAAAACCTGGAATTTTTCGACTTGTTAAGAATTTATCGTCTTATGTAGTCGACATTCTTTTCCTCATGCGATTTTCGTACATTGTTAACAAGTGTCATTTTAAGGCGTTACTCGAACAGTCACATGTGAAGACAATGTAAACAATCAGACTCCTGATAAGGTCGTACTTTGCACAGAGAATCAGTCATTGAAAATATTTTCAGGCTTGAGTCATAGTTCTCGATGAAGGAGGAGCTTATGAGATGGAGAAGATCCCACTACCTGTAAAAACTAACGAGAGGTTATGTCTTGAATCCTAATCGAAGTATCATGTTTCTGTTTCAGGAAGTAGAAAGACATATTGACACTGTTTTAATGTATTTATCAGATGCTATATATATATATATATAAATTTGGGTGCGGAAGTGAGTGTAAAAGAATTGACACACATCTGTCATTTAGCTTTGATGCTAAGATATAATGTAGAGTAACAATATATTCACAGATAATACTTAACTCTGACAATGATCAGTAACTGTTAATTCCGTTTGCTAACAAGTAAGCTATTGATGAATATCATTTTTCGAACTTTAACATGCAATTCTTCGACTCGTGCGATTGAGGCTGAATTTTTTTTTGTTTGAATTAATTGGAATCTTCCTTGATAGTTAGTTGCTCCGATATCTTTCACAGTCTCATCCAATTTAATGATATTATTTCATCGAAAATCTTTTATGGCTTCGATATTATATGCCGTCTCTGAAATCTATAAGATATAGATATTATCGGACAGCTCTTCGTCTAATAAAACTTCTTGATTAATTAAATTGGATTGCTTGTCTTATCAATAACATCGCTCTTATAACGGTTTTCATTGGCTAGATTAATTAAATACATTAAAGAGTTGATGTCGTTATCATCTCAGTGCACAAGTAATATCTCTCCACCTCATCGAGAACTATTTTCATTCGTGCAAAAGATTAAGCGCGTAACAATTTTCTTGTAGACACTACTAAGCAAAATTCAAATTTATCATATCGACTTTCAAAATCAGTAATTGGGCTTACTATTGTTTTGAATATCTTTTCACTCACTTTTTCTTGTGGAGGATAAATTCTTTTCAATGTTGCGATCTCAACGATTTCTTGTTCTCATGGTATAATTTTCTGCCGGAATGAGTTCCGAACTGAAACAGAGGTCAGATTAATATCCAGATTATTTAAATCTATAGATAGTTGTATTCGTAGATCATGCTATCCCCCGAACATAGATGATTCAGAAGACAAAACAATTCACTATATTGTTGAAAGACGTTCAAATTTGGTACTTCATCGGCAGAGCATTTAGCCCTCGTAACTTCCATACTTGATAAGAGAGTTTTACTAAAAGGTGATTTAAAAGTCTTGAACCCTTCAGAAAAATTGTTCTTCCTCGCTTATTACAAATCCAAAAACGGTCAAACGTTGGCATCTAATGTCGTGTAACTAGGCGACTATTATTATAAATTTTTATACCACTATCCCTGCAAAAAAAGGGAGATATATAGGTTTATACCATTGGACTTTCTTGCCCATATTCCAAAAATAAAAAATATTAGAGATTTCCATGAAAACATAGAGAAAAAAATTTAAAAAGGAAGATATCAAAATAGATATATTGAAAGTATTATGCAAAACAGAATTACATTAGAATATTAATAGATAACTACAGAATTTTCAGACAATTGTCTATGGCATATTTTTTTCCATGATTGCCTCATCTAGAGATATTTTTTTTAATATTTAATTCAGAGATGAGCAGCTCTGGTGTTTCCTCGCTCTAGCTCAGCTCTAGCTCCAAACATTTTCTAGCCGCTCCGCTCCAGCAGAAATAAATAGTCATTATTTCATTAGAAAACTTTGGTTTTTTTGGCTCCTTTGCAGATCACTTTTTGTATTCATTAATAACACTCAGTTTCCGTAGTAATAGATGCAAATGGAAGAGGAAAAAGCACAGCTCTTAATATTTGTCTGACATTTTCTCGCTCCAGCTCCGCTCCCGGAGTGGAGCTAGCTCCGTGGAGCGACCGCTCCGGAGTCGGAGTTACCCGTCTCTGATTTAATTTTAGTAGAACCAAACTATTGTATAGGTTACTTACGACCAAATATATCATTTTTCATTTTTGGGACATGAGAAAAAATTCTCGAAAATATGAATCTATAAATCTCGTTTATTATTAGGGGTAGGAATATAAAAACTTAGAATGATACTGTCTACTTACAGGTAATTAGATATCAAAGTTTGACCGTTTTTGGATTTGTAAAAAGAAACGAGAATGAGCAATTTTTCTAAGAGGACTCAAGACTTTGGATCACTTTTTATTAAAAACTGAGATAGCTTGACAATATGAACTATAACGTCTCTAATTTTCTAGCTTTGGCGAGACGTCTATTCAATCTGAATTTTTGCAAAAAAAAGATTGAGAGATTCATTGATAAAACTTTTCAAATTGGTACTCATTAAAGAATATAAGAGTATCCATTTCTACTCGAGACTACTTACTAAATGCATACATTTCTACTTGCATTAGAAATTAAATGAAACGTGAAGAACAATAAAATTGCAATGACAGTGCAGTAAGAAATAAGCAATACTGTTTTCTTTTTCCTTTTTTTCTCTTCCATGTATCAGGTTGTAACCAAATCATAATTATCATATTTCGATCGGTTAAAAACTATTTATCTGAAGGAAAGAAAAGAAAAAAAACGAAAAATGGTGCTCTCATTCATTATTTTTTTTTTGAATAAATCAATGTTACTCAAATCGAAAAATATGGAATCTTGATGCGATCATTTGCGGGTCTTATAAACACACGCATACTCTTATGATTGTATTTACTTCCTCTTTTCTTTTCTTTCTTTCCTTTGCATCTGTCTTTGCTTTCTCTTTATATTAATATTATTTTTTCCTTTGTGTTAGCACCAGTTTTTTACATTATCTTCTATTTGTGATATATTTTCGATATACAATAAGAACAGATCTAGGATTTTAGGCAAAAATTAATTTTTGAGATTCATACGCGGTAATATAAACTCGCTTTTTGTTCATTTTTGTTGGAAAAAAACCGAAACAATTTCTTCCCAGTCAAACATGAACGTTTAAAAAAACATGTGTAGACACAACATTATCAGTACACATACATGCACCGTTATAACATGGCATGCTTGTAAACATGTTAGAGAGAGAACTATATTCACGAGTACACTCATGGAAGTTTCCGCATGTACACGCTTAATATTTTTACATGCAAGGATATACAAGTGTTTTTGTAGAAATCCCTTACGAGTGCATGTAAGACAATATTAGAATAGGCAAAAAATGAAAATGTCAATATCACTTTTCTCATATGACATCAATAACATTAGAAAATCGATTGTTTGGTAAAGATCATGATTGTTTGCTGAAGGCAAAACATACAAAAATTTCTGAAAATTATTGTTAACTTATCCAATGTGAAACATTTAACTATCTCATTCAATTTTAAGTTAGAAACACCATCAATATTATTACAAATATTAAAAGAAGCACCAAATATATCATCAATAACTATCAATCAGGATATTTTAATATCGTTATTCGACGATAATGAATTATGTAAATATTTAAACAAAATGGTTAAAAAATTAGATGCTCTATCGAATAATTCATATGAACTGAACCAATTTTACAAAATATTTTCAAATATTGAACAACTTACATGTACAATCTATAAAAAAGAGTATTTGTTATTTCTGACAAAGCATTTGCCAAAATTATCAAGTATCAACATTTATTCGCGGGCATCCACTTTTGACTACCACATGTCTTGGTTCAAACAAGAAGTATACAAATTAGGTGTAAAGATTTTCACTGACTTTAATGATAAAAATGCATCTATTTGAATTATTAGATATATGTACTAATCATATAGTAACGCATTGTAAAATAAGAACTGCAGAGTTGTATATCTAATAATTTTTCGCAAATTTTAATAAACTTACCAAATGAGATTGGAGCCCTACTACCATGTTTTTCGAGGTTTTCAAAAGACTTCAAATTAAAAAAATCGAAAACGATGAGCATAAAGAATTGATCTTACATATCGATATTAAGGTTCGTAAATCTAGACAGTTGTAGAGTTCACCACTATTTTCTATTTAAGTTTAATTTGTCTTAACAAGCTTTGACCAAAATAACAGAAAGGTTTTTTGAGCTTCTGCTTTTTGAGTAGTATATTCTATCAATATTTATTTTTCTTCGTATTATACGTGATTCATCGATTATATGTAAAGTATCAATATATGATACTAGTAAGTTTGTTTAAGCATATGTAGTCCTTGTGGTAGAATATCAGCAGGTTTCTCTTAAAATTTAATATCCGAAATATTCAAAAATATATCTCGTTTCTTCATAAAAATATTCTGGAAAATCATTTTCTGATGTCGATGCAGAAGGAATCATTGCTGCTTGCATTACGACATGGACAAATGAGAATACTGTGAAGTAAAAAAAAACAAGCAGGCATACCTGCTATGTTTACTTAATGCAGTAGTGTAGAACTCGAAAAGTTGGTTCAATTGAAAAACAAGTTTTCAAATGAACTCGTTAAAACGATTCATTAGAACTGTTTAAATTTCAACTGAGGGTTGTTCAATTGTTCAACCATTCAAATTTCAAATTTTACTTGCGAACAAATGGATTAAAAAAAATTTGCAATGCTGGAGTATCGATCAGCGCCGTGATCATTGAGGTTTGAAATTACAATGTGAATGTTAGAAACAGCTTCTAATTACAGAATTTAGATAGAAGAAGAGCAAGTCAGGAGAACTTCATTCTTGGATTTCGATAATTGAATAGTTGAAATCTGAAATTTGACTAATTGAACAGCGTCATATTCATTTGAAAAATTTTTTCAATTGAACATATTTGACTTCAATTGGACCAATTCTTCGAGCTCTACATATTTGACAACTAATTACTTTTTGACTTTCAAACCTCAATCCACTATTTTTTCCAGAACACAATAAATTGGCTGATTATACATGAAATCAAAGTAACGCGTGTTCATTCACTATTAATTATGCTTCAAAACGAAAGAAGACAAATAATCTGAGATACTGTTTATCTTCTGATGTATTATCAACAATGAATACAATTATCAAAAATACATCAGGTCGCACTGCATATAAATACAATTGAGCTTACTTACTATCATAATACCATTAAGAAACTAGTTGATATTCATCATCAAGCATCAAAATCTTGCTATAACATTAGCTAAAACTATGTTGGAATGTTTAATTTGCAGTTCGACCTCTCTAGTAAATGTCTAAGCATTTTAATAGTTTTATTCTTCTTGTTTTGACACAAAAAAATTCTTTTTTTTTGTTTTTATTTAAACTTTATTTATTTTTACTCGATGAATACGTGTATTTCTTTGTGTCATATATGTTGATTGTAATAAAGTGGTAATCATTTTTTCTTCTGCATCTGTTGATAGTTTCTTTGTTGTAATAAAAAATGAACCATTGTTTGTTATTTTTATTTTGTTTAGTGATGAAAACCATTGTAGATTTAAATGACGAATATAATCAATATCATAATCACATCTTGAAATATGAATATGAATATCAATACGTTTTAATGAAACAGAATTTTTTTCAAGAATATCAGAAAATTTTTCAAAATTAAAACTATTTGGTCCATTATACCATATGCCAGTATAAGATTCATTCCATAGGAATTCGAGTCGATGAAGATTAGACATTGATTTTAATAAAATTTCAAGGTCAGGATCAAGTTTTCGAAGTTTAACTTTTAAATGAGATATATTTTTATGTTTTACATCAGACTGATGAATAGTTTTATTATTTGGTAATAAAGCAATGTCTAAATAATTTAAATTTGGTAAATATGGAAGAATATTCAATACATCAATAATTGTACAGAAACCTAAATAAAGAGAATGAAGAGTTAAACACAATTGCATTGATTCTATTTGTTTTAAAATTGATGAATCAATACGTGGAACACACAATGTAACAAGATGTGAAAATAGATCCGAACCAAATAGAATTGATTTAAATGTATTATCATTTATAGTTAAATTAGTTAAAAATGGTAGATTATCCGATGTAATTTCTAAACATTGTTCATCAGTTGGCATAGGTAAATAAAGTGAACGTAGATTAACAAATGATTGAAGATTTATATTATAAGATAAACGAGACCAATGACAATCAATAGCAAGATAAATAATTTGATAAGCAAAATGATTTAAACATGTTTGATAATCTTCGTATTGATCATCATTAATAATATGAATACATATACGAATATCATTTAAAATATTATTTAAACGTGAATTAAGATTAATAAAACCATGATAAAGATCAATTGGATTAATAAATGAAAATAATTCTAAGAAAAGTTCATCAGGAAAAAGTTCTAATGTTGAAATTTCATGGGAAATATAATTACACATCATACGCTTTTTTGTTTATAACAAGCAAAAAATAAGCGTCTACAGGTCATATATAAAATAGAAAGAAAACATTAACTCATGATAAATCAAACGACAAAACAACAAACTTTCAATACCGCACCTTTTTTTCTTCATTGGTCACATTACACGAATGTTGATGATTTTTACCTTTAGTGACTCATACTATATACATTCTTTCTGTCTGCTGTTATTGCACCATATTCTCGCAATCAGAACTGTTCTTTTTTTCCCGCCATAGTTTTGCTATATGTATTCTGGATATTATATATTCCCTGGCTGAAGGTGAGAGTGGGTGTGAGTCATCTCTTCACCTACATCCATATCCCTGTTGTGAGAAGTTTAATATATTTGAGTTAAGTTGATAGATTTCAAAATGACTTTTCTCTTGACTTTGTCGAAGCATAAAAGCCACATAAATGGTTAAAACTCGTTTGCAAGCTATCAGCAATATAATATATGGAACATAATCTGACATCATATATGTACTTCGTTTTTATGACGGGTGCACGAAATTAATCTAACAAGTTCGCACTTTTTTTTGGCTAAAGTTCATTTTTGACTGTCTTGAGACAAATTAGTAGATCAAAATAGAAATCCAGGCCCACTTCCAGGGAAGCGGTACAGTTTCCATGGATTCACCCATTTATGAAACTTCTTTGGTTGATCATAAATCATTGCTTTTGATTCTTCGAGTTCTACACCTTGCCAAATCATTGAAATTCCAACAGATGTAAATAAAATAATACGAGCTGTTTTTGCTCGAATAAAGACATCTGAATTTTGTTTACCCGTACCATAAAGTAATCGTTCATTATCATGACATACTAAATAATTAACAAAACTTTTTTTCTGAACATGCATATTTCAAATGATTAAAATTTTCAAAGTTTTCAATTTCATCTTTTCTTAAAGCGAGAGATCCTCTTAAACCTTTATAAAATGAAGATGACCAACATGCATCTACTGAACCACCGTTTTCTTTACATAAATCTTTTCTTTCTGAAATATATTCTGCTTGACTAAAACAAACAATTGAATCCAATTCGTGAACTACATCATAATTATCCATTTCTTTTGCTAAAATAGAAAAACAAATTTAGATTTTATTTTGACAAAGTATATCATTTTACTTTAACTTATTTAAAACAAATCTCAACCTCAATTTAACACTTTTATAAGATGCCGGCAATGCAAAATTTAAGCAAAATTTGTTTCACATTTTTTGGTGTGGTTAAATAGAACTCTTCGAGTTACCTCTAAAAATATTGTTCTCACTATGTTTGAATAATCCTTCTGTTGTAGAACTTAGGAAAATTCGGTTAAAAAAAAAAGAGAAAAGTCTGCAAAAACTTGAATGCGCCAAATGTATTAAGAATCCTCTTCCTTCACAATGGATTTCTCACTTAGAATGACTCGTTTGGACTGAAACTTTTAGGGATGAGTAGTCCTAGTGAGAAACACTTTTGATAAAAATTTCAGGACGATATCCGTTACTAGAATCAAATTTCTGGCTCGATGTTTAGCTTTCCGAGGAATTTTTTTTAACTTGGTCATTAAAAGAGATGGAGGGATTGGGTTGCTTTCAAATTAAAGTTAACATCTGTGTGCAGTTTTTGTTCGAACAGAATTTTTAAACACCCCTTCATTCATTTTTTCTGAGTATTTTAGTATACATGGTGTGAAAGTCAACATAAAAAACAGTGATTCCACAAAAGTAAATTTCACTTTTCTTAACCCACGAATCAAATATAAAGATTCTGTTCGGACAAAAGTTTACTCTTGTTTAGACCTTTAAAACAAAAACAAATAAAGGTTATATCTTAAAACATGTGAAAGTTATTTCAAATTTTCTACTTAACGACTTTTTCATTGAAATGTAGGAAAACATCATATTAAAACGATTTTTTCTCAGCTCTATCATCTTCGTTATTTATTTTTTATATTTATTTCTTAAGAACATATAGCTTATAGAA